TCTCTCTCTCTCTCTCTCTCTCTCTCTCTCTCTCTCTCTCTCTCTCTCTCTCTCTCTCTCTCTCTCTCTCTCTCTCTCTCTCTCTCTCTGAAAGCCTTCCCTCGCTCGCACCACCCTAAGTAGCTATGGCGCCCAGCACCAGTTGACTACAGCTAGTTGCTTCCTCAATCCGGAGCCGTGCGCCACCTAGCCGCACAAGATTGCAGCAGCGCTTCCGCAGCTTAAACAAGTGGAAAAGATAATGACTTCCACAGCTGCTGTGCTTCCATATGTGACGATTCAGGTTTCCTTCCTCACACTTTACGGACCAGTACCCGCTACCTGCTGACCGCGCTTTGATCTCTGACGCATCCGGAATGTTCACCGACTTTCCTCGGACTCTGGGCCGCTAACTGGACTGGCTTGCAGCAGCGCTTCCGCAACTCACACGAGTGGAAAAGATGTTGACGTCTACAGCTGCTGTGTTTTTGTATGTGACAATTCAAGCTTCCTTACCTCAAACTTTTTGCACTGCTACCCGCTACCTGCTGACAGTGGTTGGGTCTCTGACATGTCCGGAATGTTCATTGACTTTCCTGGGACTCTGGGAAGCTGACTGGATTGGCCTTGCCTTGACTTGCTGGACTGGATGGGACTGAACTGGACTGGACTGGACTGACTTACTAACCTACCAGCCCTACAGCACTAAACTGCCTACCGGCTACCGGACTGGGATGCTCGAAGCCTTGGACTGGGAATGGGACAGGACCTTGCTACTCGTGAAATCCTTTTAGCAAAGGGTTTTTTTTTTTGTTTTTTTTCTTTCAATAATAGTGTGTTCCGATGAACCACGGATGAGCTATTAAACTGATGAGAACAGGTACCACACCTGATCTTAGCCAAAAGGTCGAGAGAGGTATCTTTCGGCAAAGTTGCAATGGTCATCAGAACTCATTTTCCTTTTAATCTTGTTTTCCCTTCACTTGATGTTTGATTCAGCGAAACCGTATGTTCTATTTTCTGAAGTTTTGAGGACAGTTTCGTCAACCACCTCTTCTTTCTTTCAAGGCGCTGGCATCTGTGTAGCGGAGTTGAGAGACAGACCAGGGACTGGGCACGCAATGGCATGGGAGCAATAGATTGGACACCAATCCAATCTATTGCTCGGCTTGGCGTTGCTCCCAAGTTCCCCACCATGGGAGCATTTTTTTGTGAAGAAAAAACAAACATAACAACAAACTCTGTTATGTGTCCAGGACTCTAAGGAATCCGGACAGAACCAGATCCGCAAGCACCCTATCCAGACAGTCCATGTCTGGATGTCCAGATATCCTGATTCTTGTCCGGATATCGAGATTGCTCGGATACAGCCGGACACAATTCAGGCTCAGGTGGCTCGATCGGTCCAGTGTGTGGGTCCAGGGTAACAATTATTCCTACCATCCCTTTTGTCCCATTGTAGCATCCATTTGTCATGCAGGAGTGGGCAGATCCGCGTTTGAAGTAACTGTTTCGAAAGATGCATGTAAACGTCACTCCAAACAACATATACATGGGGATTTTAGGAAAACGTCGATGCAGCATTACACCACGATACACGCTGTATCCTCGACGGAAATGAGAACGGGACCCAGTTGGCCGTGGAAGCAGGAGATCAAAGGAC